ATCCTGGGATCAGTTTGTTTTAGTCCCACCTTTCCCTCCCCCACCCCATTTCCTGGCCAAGATTGGTTCCAGAACTCTCTGGTACCTTCCTGGAGTGCTAGTCACTCCTCAGATTCTCCATCTCAAGATGCAGCAATGCCGGAGGGCAGGGCTGGCCCAAGGGATTCAGGACCCTGGGCTCTCACTGTACTTCCCTGAGGTCAGTTATCCTGTCACAGCCCAGCCCATGGAGGAGAATGCATGCTGAATGGTGAAGCCTTCCCTCCAAGGATCTCTCCAGCTCCCCCTGGACATGTAGATCCTGTTTGGACATAGCTCCCATCAGCCTGTGAGCCCCGCCAGAGCAGGGACTGGTGCCTTTGTTTCATTTCCGTTTTTCGCCTTTCTTTGAATACCTAGCATTTAGCACAGCGCCCAGCCCATAGCCACACTTGATAAATGTTTGTTGACTGTCAGTCATGAGATCTGGCTTCTAGTCCTGGCTGTCGCTACCTACCTGGGGACTAAGTCACTTCCCTTCTCTGGAGGTTGAATTTGATGTCTCTAAGGTTCCTCTCATCATCAATATTGTCTCACGCCCTTCTCAATATATACCTGGAATGGACTGTTTGTCATCCTCATCCCAGGGGTTGAAGTACTTACCTTTCTTCCAGGCCCAACTCATGGGGCCATCTTCCCCATGAGGCTTACCTTGACCTCTCCAAACTGCCAGCCCCCCACCCCCATCGAATGTGACCTTCTCACATTCAACAGAGACAGGCTAGAACAGTGGATAGAGCACTGTCTGTGAAGTCAGGAAGACCTAGGTTCAAAGCCTGCCTCAGACTATTAGCTGTGTGACCTTTGCCAAGTCACCACCTCTGAATCTCAGTTTCCTTATCTGTAAAATAAAGGGACAGGTCTAGATGGCCTCCCAGCTCTAGTTCTATGCTTCTACAGCACTTCAACTCTCTGAGACTCAGTTTCCCCATCTGTAAAATGCAGGGGTAGGATTAGATAGTCTTTAGATAGCTCCTTGCTCTCATTCTTGAAGTCCTATCCTCAGGGGCTGATGTGAGGCCCAAAGGAGAAAGTCTGTGTGTAAAACATTTTGCATGCATTAAAAGGCACTATCAGCGGCAGTTATTATTAACTCTGGACAAGGTAAGACATTCTGTATTCCCTGGCAGCTAGGGGCCTTGGGCAGCCCCTTAACTTTTCTCAAGCTCCTCAGTTTGCCTGGGAGTCAGAATGCATGGATTCTGTACCTCCCTGACTTCTGACTCAGTTCCTGTCTTGGGCACCTCCCTGCGCCTCCAGGCCTCCATTTATCACTGAGGAGGCAGCAGGCCTGGGCCTGGCTGTTCGGGGAGGTCCTGATGGGCCTCTCCCAGCACAGCTCCCTGAGAGCTCCCTGTTCAGTGGCCTACGTCAGCAGAAACAGCAGCTTTCCCCATCCTGCCTCCCTTCCCCTGCTCAAAGCATCCCCCTTAGGAGGGCAGGGCCCAAGCCTTCAGTGCCACATGGCTACCCAATAATTTTTAACTGATAATAACAGGCTTTGCTTTGGCACTCAAGGGTTGTTCTATGGAAGGCAGGTGGCCGCCCGCTGTTCAGGCCCTCTCAAAACAAGCCCTGCGAGGGAAAGATGGGATTTAGGTCAGAAATGGGAAAAGAGTTCTTGACTGGAAAGGCTGAACTAACTCACATCTCTACTCACATCCTTCTCTGATGCCTCTTTACGTCACAGAGGTGACTCTGGGCCTGGGATGGGTCTGCTTGTGGCAAGTTCTAGCAGGAACCTACCAAGCTGGAAAGACTTCCAGCGAAGCCTGGGGAAAGACTGCATGTGCAAAGCATGGAGGGGCTCGTCACCAGAGGACATGGCTCAGCACCGGGATGGGACATTTTTTGGCCACAGCAACTTGTGACAGTCTATGTATGACAGTCTACTGATATGTGGAGGGGCTGTGGTCTATGGTGGTGGGGACAGTGTTTGTAAAACCTATAAATATAAATATATATAATATACATACATACAGATATACAAACACATACATTTATACATATACGTGTATGTGTGTATGAGTGTAGCCCTGTGTGGTGCATAGAGTACTAGACTTATAGTCAGGAGGACCTGGATTCAAATCCTGCCTCTGAAACTCAGTAAGAGTATGACCCAGGGCAACTCATTTCAATGGGGTTAACAACAGAGCTTACCTCCCAGAGCTCTTGTTAGGTTCTGATGAGCCAGCAGACATTGTTTGAGCTAGGTGGCACAATGGAGTCAGGATGACCCGAGCCAGAGATGTTCTTGAGGCTCCCTCGGGATGAGGGGCTTGGCGGGCTACTCGTGCCCCAGGCTGGCAGCACTCAGCAGCCCTGCTGGCACCCAGACCTAGGCCCAGGCCAGCCATTTTTAGGGCACTGGGATGACCATCACAAGCCCCCGGAAAAGGGGAGGGAGGGACGCCAGGCCTGATCCCTTGCCCTTGGCCTCTTTGGCTGTCTGTCAGGTGACAAGGGCTGGCATTCAAAACCAGGATTCTGCACGGGCTGATGTACAAAAGGCCGGACTTGTAGTCAGGATGGTCTGGGTTCAAACCCTGCCTGCCTCGGACAAGTCACCTCACGTCCCTGGGTGTCAGGTTCCTCGTCTGAAAAGGAAGGGGTTGGACTCAGTGACCTCTGCGGTCCCTTCCAGCTCCGAATCTAGAAAATGCTCCATTGGCTGATGGTTTTTGGCTGAGGCACAGTATGAACTAGATATAGGTCATCTCACTTTGCCTTTGTTTTCCTATCTATAAAATGGGCAAAACAGCATTTGGACCACTGATCTCATGGGGAGGCCATGAGGGGAGCCCTTTGAAAATTCTCACCGCCACCCAGCTGAGCTGTCACATTGGGGGTCACTGACATCACCCCCAGAACTTGTCTCCCTCAGAACAGGTGGGCCCCCTGGCCCCAGAGTAAAGGTGGTAGAAAGCAGATAGTATACAGCAAGGAGAAGAATCTTTATTTGGTTCAAAAAAAGGTCAAAGGCAGAGACAAGCAGCCCCAAAGCCATCTTCCCTCCACCCCTTTCCAGTCCTCAGCCGGCTGAGAGAAGGCGTTAGGCCTGATCCCGCAGCTCCCTCTTCTTCCACGGGGACCACAGCGCTAAGGGCACTGGTATCACCTTGAATCTCAGAGGTGGTGGGGGTTGGTGGCATCGTGGGAACAGAGTTGGGCCACCGGTGCTTAGAACAGTCACCTAACCTGTTCAACAGCGTCATCAGCATGAAAGACTCCTAAGAAAACTTGTTCAGCTAGACAACGGCTGTGCCTAGGCTTGGGGGTGGGGGGAGAAGTAAGGCAAGATTTCTGAAGGGCCCTGGCTCCTTACAAGTTTGGGAAACAGGAGAGGATGGGGGATTGCTTACTGGTTTAGCAGCTGTTTTATGGCTTCTAACAATTTGGGAGAGGAAGGGTCTTGGCTCAGGGGCAGGGCAGGGCAGGGGAAATGCCCAACAGGATTTTTCTGGGGCTGGGTCTTTGTCCCCTAGAGGTGGGGGGGGACAGGCAGGACCCTTGCTGAGCAGACATACAGGTGGCAGAGGGAGCAGACTCTGGAGGCACAGACGGTGGCAGACTGGCCGAGGCTTCAGGCAGGGGGAGATCCTGGAGGCCCTCCCTTCTCGGGGCTTCTCCCAGAGAGGCAGAAGGCTGCAGTCCTCAAAAACTCCTTAAGGCCCCTCGCACACTGGAATTCCCCCATCATTGGGACAGCAAGGAAGGAGAAGACAGAGGTTAGAAGTAAACCAGCTCAGGCAAGAGCAGGAAGGGGAGGCCTGGGGAAAGGGAGCAAGGCTACCGGGATGGGGGCGGGCCCCCTCCCAAAGAGCAAGGATTGTGGAGGGCACAAAGAGCAAAGAACGAATAAAACCAAGCCAAAAGTACTGCAGGGGAGAGAAAGCCAAGATGGACGACAGTCAGAGACCAAGGGCCTCCACGCTCCGTGGGGCACGAAAGCCACCAGAACTGCCTGCGCACTAGCCACACGGCAGGGGGCTCTCCCCTGCTCCAGCTCCCTCTAGCTGGAGCCCAGGAAAGCTTGGGAGAGGGAAGCCTGCCAATTAGTCACCTCTTCCCACCTCTATCCTGGGGCTACCAGCACAATCAGGACCCAATTCCCAGGGACAAGCAGGGTCCTCCACCTTGCTCCCCATAAAGCATAATCAAGCAAGGTGGGAGAGGCTGCTGGCTTCCCCAGCCTAAGCCATTTGCCCCTCCATCCTCTTTCCTACGGGGCAGGGGGGGCTTGAGCTGAGCTCCCCCCCCCAGCCAGCCCACTTACTGAGTGCCTACTCACACACACACCACACCAGACAGATGAACAATTTCTGTGAGGCATGCAATGAAGGTGAGATGAGGGGTGGGCACCAATAGGAGGGAGTGAGGCACGATCTTACCAGCTAACCCTCAGCAAGGAGGCCTGTTAGGTCCCCTCAGGCTGTGCAGGAGATGGCAAAGTCCTGACAGGTGTCCTCCTGGGAGGGGAGATACCGGAGAGTGCCAGTGTTATGAGGTGCCTGCCTGGCACTTCTCCCCTGGGCACAGAGGTGGGGGGCAGCCCCCGTGCCAAAACTAGGATCTGTGGTCTTCCAAACTCACTCAGAGGTTACTGGGAGTGGAGGACCAGATGAAGATGGTGGAGGAAAGGAGAAGGGGTATCTGTGACCTCAGAAGGAACTTGGGGCAGATGAGGGAGATGGAGAAGATGGACAAACAGGATGTTTCCTGCCGAAGCCTAGACGTCCTTGGTTCCATCCCTGTCCTGGGGGTTCCAGCCATTAGCCCTCTCTACCTTGGCCTAGGTGCTCCGCAACCTCAGCTGAATCAGGTGAGCTGACAGGCCTAAACCAGTCGGAGCTCTGCTTTCCCTCTGCCTCCCTAGAGGGGACCCAGACCTTGGATAGAAAAGCAGAGTCACCACCAACTCCCCCCCTTTTCAAAGGAAAAATAAAACCAACCAAAGCAAATCAACTCTTAAAAATAAAAATTTTATTACAGGCAGCAACAAAGAACACTGGCCTCAATGAAAGGCAGATGGGCTCCCCCCGCCCCAAGCCAGCTCCCTCCTGCTCTCCTCCGCAGGGCCAAGGCTACTGACGCCCAGGCCACTTTGAGCTTTCCATGAGGTCCCTGGGTAACTGCCACTTCTAGACAAACTGGCTCTCCAGGCCTCTGCCCCTGGCCTGGAGGGACCATTAATGGGAGTGCTGCAGCTTCTTAGCTCCTCTCGGCAGCGTCGCGGAAGGCCCACAGTTAAAGGGCCTCGGTGAATGGGTGGAAGACCCAGGACAGTCCTGAGGTTCTCACCTACTCCTAAGAGGGGATAAGGCTCTAGGCAGCTCACACACACGGAAGGGGATGGGCTGAACGCTAGCCTGGGGCTCAATCTCCCACAGCTAGAGCTTGGCTCATTCTTTCCCTGCAGTGGCCCCTTCCCCCAAGTCACAGGATGAGGGGCAGCAGGCAGCTCTGTTCTCCACTGATCCAGCCTCTCATGCTCTTCCAGGATTGTTCAAATCTCTCCATACTCCCATAACCCCACCCAAATGCACTTTGGCCTGTTGGGGCGGATTTCAGGCTGGAAGCCCAGCTTGGGGAAGGGGGGGTGCCATGGCGTCACCCAGCCACCAGGTTTCTGACATCAAAGTCAGTGGTTGGGACGTGGGAGTGTGGGGTGGGAAGGGAGTGTGGGAGGACACCCAGAATGGGGACTTGGCCCCGCCCCCCCCGGAACTCCAAGTTGCCATTCACAACCAGTATGTATACACACACACACACACACACACACACACACACACACACACACACACACACACGTCTCTGTCTCTCTCATTCACTCTCTCAGTTCCCATGGCTCATATGGTGCCCCTGCCTGCTTCTGCTAGGCTCAGATCCCCACAGGTGGGGTGGGAATTAAAAAAAAAAGCCAAAACACAGGGCATGTGGGGGAGTGGGAACCTTCCAAGCAATCAGCCAGGCATGCACGAATGAAAACACACACACACACACACACACGCACACGCACGCACACATACACACAGAGCCAGACAGACACACTTACAACAAACCGTAAGGTCTCTTGTAACAAAATCACAAAACCAACCTGCCTCTTGCCAGCACCACCCAGCACTAGAGAAACAACAACGGGGTTGAGGATTTTTCTTCTTTTAAAAATTCTATGTAGAAAAGAGTTCTATAAAATTGTGCAAAACACCCAGCAGCTTCAGTAAAACCCGTTTCAAGTATTGCCAGTGTGTGTGTTTGTGTGCACGTGTGTGAATGTGTGTGTGATTCACCCACACTGGGGAGGTGGGACAGCCCGGTGCACGGTCCCTGGATCTGGACTGTGGGGAACGAGGGAAGGGCGCTCCCTGCTCAGACTGAGGAGCGGAGGCTTGGCTCACTCATTCCAAGGACACCCTTCACCCCCGCCCCCTAATCAAATTCCTGCTGGCACTGGACACCCTGCCTACCCTCACTATCAGGTGGCTCTGGCTCCTTCCTGAAAAGACACACAGGCAACCCCCAAGCCTGGGAAGCAGCCCAGGCCCTAAGATCTGCTCTTTGACCTGCTGAGCCTTCACGGCCCCCTGACTGTCACTGTGACAGCTGCCCACGGTTTCAGCAAGGCCGGCCTGCTCACACCCACATCCATCCATACAGGGCTAGACCTTCTTAGCATAGACATGGATATAAAAGGCAAAGAAACTGGTTCTCTATGGCAAAGTGGGCACTTGTCCCTCCCAGCCCCATCCCCAACTACGACCAGGTGGAGGTTCTGCTGCCTCACCGCTGTGAGCCAGCAGGGAGTCTCCGGCCATTTTCCCACGGCTCCTGGACTTGGCGGAGGGGCATCCCCCTGAGGAGGGAGAGGGGCGGCAACAGAAGAGCTCAGGAACAGCCGTGGGGGGGGGCAGTGCCAAAAGAAAGGAGAGGAGGCTCGACTTGGGTGTTGGGTAGCTCTGGCCCAGGGGGCAGAGGCAGGTCCAGCAGGCACAGGGAGGCAGTGGGTGCAGGGAGGAGGGACTGGCAGGCTGGCAAGCACTCAGCTCCTCTAGGGGAGGCCTCCTACCATGCTGCTGTCCGGCTTGGCTCCACAGGCGGGCTCCTCATTCTTGGTGGGAGACGGCACCTCGGCGTCTGGCTGCACAAAGCCCCTCCGGTCAATCAAGCTTCAAAAACACAAAAGTGAGATGTTCTGGGTCAAGAGCCAGCTTGTGCCCGCGGGGGCAGTAAGGGGAGGGGGAAGGCCCCGATGAAGGCTAGCCGTGACCTGGGCTCCAGCCCCTCCCCTTTCAGAGCGGGAGGGCCTGGGATTTACGCCCTGCAGAACCTGGGTCGGAAGAGATCTCAGACAGCATTCAGTTCAAGCCCTGCTTCAAGGGAGACGCTACAATAAATCCAAGCGGTCCTCTGGCCTCTGGCTGGATATCTCCAGTGAGGGGAAATCCCTGCCTTTTCAATCTGTTACTTTTCTGGATTAGAAGTCAATGGGAAAACAGGAAGCCTATGGATGGAGGGGGGTGGTGAAGAGAAAAGGGCTATGCATCCAGCAGCACCAGCCCCTACTCTCAGCAGGGAATAGCCCCAGACTAATGCTTCCTGACGAGGGAGCGCTACTGAACTGGTCCAGTCACTGTGGAGAACACTTTGCAACTGGGCCCCAAAAGCAAACTGTGCAAAGCCTTTGGCCCAGAAATACTGCCCCAAAGCAATCAAAGGAAGAGGAAAAGGGCCCACCACGGCAGAAATCTTTCTAGCAGCTCTTTCTGTGGTTGGGGGTGTGGGGGGGGATGGAGATGCTCATGAACTGGGGAACGGCTGAACAAGCTGTGGTATATGAATGTGATGGAATATGACTGTGCTGAAAGAAATGATGAAGGGGATGGTTTCTGAAAACCTGGGAAGATCTCTGAACTGACACTAGGTGAACTGAACAGAACTGGGAGGTTACTGTATAGTCACAGCAAAGTCACAACAATGCTCAACAGTGGAAGCCGCTGAAGAGCTCGGATCGATGTGGTGACCAGTCACGTCTCCCAAGGGCTCCTGGTGAAACATGCTGCCCCCACTCCTGACACACGGCTGATACAGCTGGGGGGGCAGACTGAGACACATTTTTAAAAACACAACCAATGAGGTAATTTGCTTTGCTCAATTATACATGTTTGTAACAATGATTTTTTTTTCTTTCTTTTTCAACAGAGAAGAGGTAAATTTTCACTGACTGAGGGAAGGGCCTGCTTTTGCCCTGTCTCGGTATCCCCAGTGCCTAGCCCAGTTCCTGTACATAGTAGGCACTTAATAAATGCTTGTTGATTGATATGGCATGAAGACCCTGCAAGCAGCTGTCTAGGCCTCTTACAGAATTCTCTCCCTCCTGTGTTCACTAGGCACCAGAAGGGGACTTCTAATGCTTATTCCTATAACCAAGGGAGGAAGGGAAGGGGGATAAGGGTGACAGACAGCAGAACACAGTGGAAGAGCATTGCATTTGAAGTCAAAGCCTCCATAACAGCCAGTGTGGCACAGGGGAAAGGATAAGGCTCTAGAGCAGAGGCCTGGGTTCAAATCTCGCCTCTGCCACTTAACACCTGTGTGACTTTGGCAAGTTACATAATGTCTCCAGGCCTCAGTTTCTCTCTAGAAAGCAAAGGGGACGGACTTGCTGAGCTCTAAGGCTTCTCTAGCCTTGAGTTCTACTGCCCTAAAGCAATGGTTAAAGTGGGAGCTGGGCACAGAGACAGGCTTCAGCTTTCTGTGCCTCCTCTCCTCCAGGAAGGACTGGAGACACATCTAGGTCATACTGCAGAGAGGAAGATGAGGTGACAGGGCCATGATCACTCACCCAGGCAGCTGTCCCAGCAGAGGGATCAGTTACCACCTGGCCAAGCCAGCCCGACCACTCATACCCCATACTACCCACCAGCTCCCTCTGGTGACGAGATGGCCCTGTGACCTGGCTTCTAGTTAAGGCTCCCCATCCACGGGGAGATCAGAGGCTCCAGCCATGGCAGCCACCCCGCCTCCAGTACCCCAGGCAGGCAGCGCCTAGCCACCACACCCCCCGAATCAGCAGCCAGCTCTCAGCATCTTCAGCTGGGCACCTAAGCACGCCAGTACGTCCATCCTAACGACAGGTAAGCCGTGGCTGGTCCTTCACTTCATAAAAGAACCCCTCTTTGAGCTCCTTTAGGCAGCAAGTGCCCTATGCAGACATAAGGCACTTATACAAAACCTTCTGGAAGGGACCTCTGACCCCAGAGGACCACTAAGACTCCCTGCTTCTGCCCTGCCCCCCACCTCTGGAGAGGAGCACTAGATAAGCAGAGTCCAACTCGCTACTTATTCCCTGTATGGTCTTGGGTGAGTCATTTCTCCCACCCTAAGTGGCAGTTCCCCACTCTGAAAAAAGACAGGTTGGAGCTGGTGGCCTCCACAGCCCCTTCTGGGCCTCCATGACCCTTGAGCTCCCCCATCCTGGGACAGGGCCCTGGCCTTGCCTGGCTGCCAGGCTGAGGTGAGGGCCTGGGAAAGCTGCAGAGGCCCCAGGGTTGTAAGTATGAGGCCCAGGATGCCGCGGGGTGGGAGTGGGGGGACCAGACTTCAGGCAGGGCTGCTCACCTTGGGGGCAGAGGCCCACAGAGCACAGCACAACAGTTGGCAACGACACTTTTATGGCTGTAGGGGTTGGTGGAAGCCTCCATGTTTTTCTTATTGGACCACGAGCCTTTGATCTGTAAGTAGAAGAGGCCAAATTAAAGCCAGAGGTGGCGGGAAGGGTACCTAACCGGCCGACTCCAAACCCACGTGCCAGTCAGGGAGGCTGGGCTTTGGGGTCCTACCCTACCCCCATATGTGTCTGTACAGAGGCAAGAAGGGGTTGGTCTGAGGAGGCTAGAAAGGTATCGTGAAAAGCGAGGTGGGCACAGTGATGGCGTGAGGAGGAAGGAAACAGAACCAGAGTCAGCAGACATCCACAGCCTCAGAGACGCCTCGCTACAGAATTCTCCAACCCCGGCCACCACGCTGATACCCCAGGGGCCCAGCTCCTTCCACTCAAGTCTTCCTTCCCTGTGTCCTCCCCTCCAGGCCACGGTACCACTCCCCCTCTTCTGGGTCTCAGAGGAACTGATGGGTCCACCTGTCTGGGCGTGTGCACTCAGGAATGGGTGGGCCTCTGGGTTTCATCTTCCCAGGCAGAGTAGAAGCCTCAGGAGGACCAGCACTGGGCCTGTTCTGGTGTCAGAGATGCTTTTAGTCTCTGGGCTGACTGGCCTCTATGTCCCCAAGCCTCTGGGGCTCTTCTTCCTTCCTCTCCCCACGTGAGTGTAGTAAGCCCCTGGGAGGCAGGGATCATGAGCTGGGGATGGGGAATTCCCATTTCACTTCTCATTAGCTAGACTTCCCATTATGACTTATAATCTATGTGTCTAGGTCTCCACTTCTTTCTTTTTTTAAGTAATGCCTTCACTTGATCAATGGGTAGCCACCTTCTTTCCAGCTCTGCTACCAAAAAAGAACTCTTAGGATTCTTTGAGCATGTCTCTTTGACCTCCTGCGAGCACACGGCTAGCAGAGGTCTCTCTGGAGGATTCAGGATCTACCTACCTTAATCTGTAAAATGGGAATAATAAAATCTGTCTTGCCTACTTCTCAGGATTGTTGTGGGAGGACCAAATGAGAAACACAGGCATGCTTTGTAACCAACCATCCTGTTCACCCACCACCAGCAGAGGCAGATCACTACATGTTAGTGCACAGTCTTCAAAAGAGGCCCCATCACCTTCAGGCCAACCTGGACAAGCCTCTCCAAAACGGGCTATGCTGGTGCTTAGACCACAGAGATCCAAGTCCATCACCAGGCCATTCTCAAAGCTCTTCTGGATCGGTGCGCTTGACCAAAGCTGGTGTTCTTCCCACAAGGGCTGAGAGAGCCCAGGATTGGCTCGTTTCCACTGGTTGCAAGAATCAGTTCTGCTCCATACAGCCCAAACTAACCCCAAAACACCATACAGAGCCAGCTAGGGCTACTTTCTCTATGATAAAATCATTTTCACCTACATGTGCTTCAGCTTCCTTATTTGTAAGATGGGGATACTGGTACTTCCTACCTGGACGGAAGCCTTAAATCTCCACAGGAATATTTACTATCTTCATAATGGAATTAGAATTCTTTTCATCTAGCTCAGGGTTGCCCTTCTGTGGACACTCTCCAATTTGTCAGTGCCCCTCTTAAGAGGTAGCCCCCAGCCCTGTACCCAGGACTCTAGCTATGGCCCAGCCAGGGCAAGGGGCTGTGGGATCATCGCCCACTTAGCCCCGAACATTAAACCTCTTTTAATGGAGTCTAAGATGCCATTAGCTTTCTCGGCTCCCACACCTCACCGCTGACTCAGTAACCTTGTTGCCTCCTACAACTCTGGCTCTTGCCCTCCCCCTCATCTTGCACTCGATTTGATTCTGCCCAGTGTGCTAGGCTATCTAGAGAGTTTGGAAGACTGTCGTCTGGTGTCCTGTCTATCTCTTCCTGGTCTGGGGACTTGTGAAGCTCTGTCCTTTATCCAGGCAAACGAGAGAAGTATTAGAGTGTGGAGCCAAGCCCAGATCTCATAGAGAGCTCCTTCCAAGCTGCTGTCAAACCACTTAGGGCACTTCTTGGGTTCTAGCCATTAAACTAATTGTAAAATCTTGCCCTCTTCCTCAAGAACCACACAAGAGATTGTCATGGCCTTATAACTTGCAAACTCCATTTTCTTCCTTTTTGAAAACTTGCCCATGCTTCTCCCATTCACCGCCATTTTTCAGAGACAGCTCACAGTGGCCCAGCGATCCCGTCTGCCTGTCCTTTCAGAAGCCCAGGATGCAGTAGCTCATGTGGTTCTGGTAACCTGAACTCACCCAAGACAGCCAGACCCTTGATGAGCCTGTTTCTTTAACTGTAAAGAAATGTGGTATTGCATTTAGGGGGTTTTTCTTGGTGGCAAAAGCACTTTGTAAACCTTCAAGGCACTATATAAATGTGAGGAGTTCTTTCACGATGCAGACTGTAACCTCTCCTGAGCAAGCATCTCTTGTCCACATCCTTCCAAAAGTTCACCTCAAGATGCTGGGGGCTTTCCTCCCTGAGTTACTGCTATTATGACAAAGGCCAGATGGCAGGTGACAGAGACTCCTGGATGAGTGTGGAAAATAGGATCACAAACTGACAGCTGGAAGGAGGCAAATCCAACCCCCTCATTTTACAGATGAGGAAACTGAGGCCCAGGAACATTGTGCTGGTCTCTCTGCCTGAATCCAATGCTCTTTCCACTATACTACTTTCCTGGGCAAGTCTGAGGCTCCAAATCCACGGTCCTAGCTGGGGCAGGGCCAGCTTTTCTCATGAAAGGCCCCAAAGCTCTGGGTACAATTGGTGCTTCGTTGCTGGGGTCACAGGGGCTCATCCATAGGAAGCTGACACAGAGGCTTCACACACCAAGCTGACATCCAGTGCTGCTGGCCTCTGTCCCGGTCAGCCCAGCCGGCATGAGGCATTCGGAAGGTGAGTGCCACAGAGGAGAGGCCTGGATGCTATCCCATAGGCCTCAGCTGAAGGATGCAGAGAAGCCTGGGTTGGGGTGGAGGACAGACCAACTCTTCAGGGATCTGCGGGGCTATCACTGGGAGGGGAATTACCCAGCTTGAGGGGGCTCACATGGATCCTGTGGGGCCCAGGAGCCTGGGACTGGGAGCAGTGGGCGTAAGCTGCGGCACAGACGACTCCAGCTTGGCAGGGCTGTCCCAGAGAGGGCTGGGTGCCCACTTGTGGCCAATGTGGTAAAAGAGATTCCTGCTCGGTGCAGGGGTCTGGATGGCCTCCTACATTCCCACCAGCTCCAAGGTCCCGTGCTTCCTCTGGCTTCATCTGCCCTGCCATCCCTGCAGTGCAGTACTGGGGCTTCGCTCACCCGACAATAACCCATCCTCTCCCACCTGGCACACAGAGCGAACCCCCGTTATACTCACATCTTCGTTGGTTGTCAGGTTCGAGGCAACGAGGTAAGTGTGAAACCCTGAGAGGCCCAAGATGGACCAGATGGAGAAGAAGCAAATCACCAGCTCCAGCACAGTGAGGGGGCGTCAAAGAAACCACGTTCTTCAGGGGGAGCAGGGAGAAAGCAGGGCTGGGGACAGACAGGCAGGCAGGTACAGACATTCACCTCCGAGAAATGGCACAAGTGACACGAGGGGAAGAGTGGGAGCCGGTGTCACCTTGGGCAAGTGACGGCCCCTCTAGGGATCAGTTTCCTTATCTGTAACATAGGGATAAACAGCACTTTGTGACTTAGCTTCACTCTCAAGGGACCAGGGACCCAGGGGACCTGATGCTATGACAAGGTGCTATTCTCGCACGCCCATTTCTGAGACCCTAAGCAGAACAATAACTAGTCTGTGGTGACCAGAGCTTTTGTCCAGGGTGCCTGGGGGCACACTTGCTCCCCTGGATCCTGACAGGGTGTGCTTCCTTTCTGGACAGCTGTGTCAGGTAACACGGGGCCAAAGGCCTTGGGACAAAAAGGACTTGCCTTGGGAAGGAAGTCTGCCATCTTGCTTCAGGCTGCCTCCCCCAACCAAGGATCCTGCTGAAATAAGGCATCTCTTCTGAGGCCTGCCTCTCCTCACTACTGCATGCCTCCTGGTCTGGGGACCCCAGCTACAAACGATGCCCAGAGGGAGTGGCAATTGCGACCCCCACTGGTCTTCATTCATCCTTCAAGCAACAGTTGTTGGTATGTCCCTGGATTTCTGCCTCTACCCCAACCCCCCAAACAGAATCTACCTCAGTTGCTGAAATTCTCATAGCCCTAGGACTCAGAGACCTTCTCACCCTCCAACCTTCTCCCATTCTTCCCTTCCATTTTGTTAGTTTCTCTAGCAGGCAAAACAACATAGTCACGCAAATCTTCCCTTTGCCATCTCTCCCTTTTCTGTAGCGACGGACACTAGACTGAGGCCAGGAAGGGGGACACCTGAAGGATTCTGGGCTCCCTAGGATTTAAAATGGGAAGAACTCTGGGTACAGAGTGTTCTAAGGCACCGGGTAGTCTAAGACACCCATTTCTTTATGAACCGTCTCCTCTGAGTCCTGGCTCTCCCCCTACCCCTACCAGCAAACACAAGGCCTGACACTTCACAGGGATGTAGGAAATGCAACCTCAAGCAGTAGCTGTAGTGGTCACCATCATCACAGGCATAACTACAGTAGTAACAATAATACCAATAGTTAGCATTTATATAGCACCCAAAGGTTTGTAAAGTGTTATACAACTATCTCATTTGATCCTCACAACAACCCTGGGAAATAGGTGCTATTATTTTCCTCGTTTTACAGATAAGGAAACTGAGGCAGATAGTTTTGTTGTTGTTTGTTTTTCGTGACTTGCACAGGGTCACCCAATTAGTCTGAGGTGGGATCTGAACTCAGGTCTTCCTGATTCCAGGTCCAATGCCCTGCCCGCTGGGCCATCTCCCAGACCCTACAGAAAGGCTGCAGACAAGCACCAGACAGATGGCATACAGGTGGGCACACCCGTCTCACCCAGCACAGGGAGGGAATGGAATGAGGGACCAGGCCTGGGTAAAACAGGTTCTAGCAGTTTGCCCCCAAAGGATATCTCGCTGGTGTCTCCTTCAGAGTGTCAAGGAAGGTGCCTCCCTGAGAACCTAAGAGGAGAAAAAGGTAGAGAGAGATGAATGCAGAGGGGCAGCGACCAGAAGGCCCCGGTCCAGTGCAGCCCCTTCCCCGCCTTCCCCCTCTACTTACGCAGCGTCAGGTGGGTGATGACACAGGCAAAGATGAAGGAGGTCAGGAAGGACAGGGAGAGGATGAAGGCATAGAAGAAGCGGTAATTCCGTTTTCCCACACAGTTGCCCACCCAAGGGCAGTGGTGGTCGAACCGCTCTGCAGAAAGGAGGTGAGAAGAGAAGGTTATTGCCTGTCTCTCTCCAGGCCGACAGAGAAGGCTGGGCCCTGCCTGGCTGAGGGGTCTCCCTCTTCTAGCATATCCCATTGGATTCTATGCTAGGAACCCCTTTGGTATAAGTGCAGATTTCAGAGCCTGAAGGGACCCAGAGGTCACCCAGACCAAACTGCCCTGGAACCGGAATGTTCCCTTGACGGCCTCCATGGCAGGGAGCTCACCACTGCCTAAAGCATTCCATTTCTGGACAGCTTTCATCCTTCAAAGATTTCCCTTACTTTGAGCCAAAATTTGCCTTTCTGCCTCTCGTACTCAAAGTTCCTAATTCTATTCTCTGGATACAGACAGAACAAGTAGAATCCCTTTTTCATCTGGTAGCTCTCCAGCTATTGAAGACTCTAATTACATATAGTGCCCGGCACACAATAAGTGCTTAATAAATGCTTACTGATTCCTGACTGACTGCTATCCACCCAAGTCTTCTCTTCTCCAGGCTAAGCATCCCCTGTTCCTTTCCCCAGAGCTGACCCACCAGAGTCCAGAGAGGCTGGCCCAGAGCCGTTAGAGAAACAGTTGCCAAACAATAGTCCAAGAAGACGCCACAGGCTGGGTCCAGGAAAGAGAGCTGAGCTCACCCAGGGAGTGTCACGCCCACTCTGGTGTGGAAAGTTCCCAGTGCGATGGCAGATCAAGGCCCAAAACAGGCCTCACCCCACAGACTGCAGCCTGTGGGGAAGGGTGGGGCAGGCCTGATTCATAGACATGAATGACACCCACTGATTCACCCACATGGAGGGTGACTAGTCACAGAGAGGTGTTCCCGACAGGCTCCCTCTCTGAACCCCAAAGTAAGCTGACAATGCTTAGCCAGCACAATGAGCTCATGGCTCAGCTTCCCTGCACAGTCATCAGGACTCAACTCACTTAGATCTCCTCAGCCAGCCCGCCCCTGCTCCCCAGGGCCATCTATGTGGGGTGACCCCACAGTGCCAGATGCTGGGCTCTGCCATGGCTGCTAAGCAGGGAGGAAGCATCCATTTCTAGCAGCTCACATACTCATAATAAAGAAACCGGGGTCCTCCCCTTACAATTCCAATTATACTTGTCGAATCTACATTCTTCTCAGCATTGTGGGGCTAAATTGTCTCCTCCTAGATTCTGCAAAATGAACCTCCCACTAGTGTCCCCTACCCTGGGGAGGACATTCACAACCAGATCAGGGCCTTCACTGCAACACCATGAGATCTAGACCAGACACCGTATGTCTCTCTGGTCCACCCCCTCCCTCAGCCCTTCTGCACTCCAGGGCAGAGGCAATAGGACAAGCCTTCACTTTCTTCTGGGGTGCTCACTTTCCTGAAACCCATCTGGCCCCCAAGTCTGAGTACAAGCCAAATCTACCTTGGGGTAATGCAAAGAGGACTAGATTCTATATTGGAATCCCAGCTGTGCTACTTTCTATGGAGTGGCCTAGTGGGCCTCAGTTTCCCTATCTGTACAGGATGTCTCAAGAGTATAAAAATTTTGCTAAGACTTTTTGGGACACCTTATATAATGAGAGGAATGAAATGGATGGCATTCACGGTCCCTTCTAGCTCTAAATTCTGTGATGCTTGTAGAATGTGACCATCTCTCCAGCTCCATTTTCCAATTGGAGAGCTAAAGCCAGAGTTTGAAGAAGTCAAGGGGGACTGAGAGATTATAATTTCACTTCTAGATTCTGTGGCAGGGAACATGAGAGAAGAAGCAGAAGAAGGATTTGAGCTGATGCAGAAGGCGATGTGAAGGTAATCTGGGGGGCTCTGTAACAGGAAAGAAGGCCAAGAATCGAATCTGGTGAGAAGAAATTTCAGCAGGAGGAGGAGGTGGAAGACTGGGATGGAAGGACCTGGGGAAGAGAAGCCTGGAGAAGGCAAGGGCCTGAAGGAGGACTGAAGAGGAGGGTCAGGAACAAAAGGAAAAAGACAAAGACAAAGGAAGCCAAGTAGTAGAGAGCCTGGTGAGAGCAGGGAAGGAAGCTGGCTGTGGATGCCAAGGTGCTAATGAGAGGACGTGACACTCAGTAGGTTTGTGATAGCGGTCTTTCAGGGTAGCTACTCAAGAGAGCCACTGGAGCTGGGGATCTCACTTCCACCAAGGATGGATGGCAGGGAAAAGCTTGCAGTGACCTGCACAAAGCGTGAGATGTCTGTACTCCCGTGAAGACTGAGTGACTGTTAGTCATGAGTGTTCCCTCTCCTAGCAGAGAAGGTAAAAGAGGTTTAGGAATGCCTATCCTCTCCTCTCTTGAGTTTATTAAGGAAAATCAAGCATTTCTTAAAAACAAAACAAAACAAAACAAAAAATAGCAGAAAGGCTTAAATGTGACAACAGACAGGAAGGAGGACCTGATGGAGCAGAGGGGACTCCTGACCTGTGCCAGGAGACTGGGGAGGGAGGTAGAAGAGGACAGACCGAAGGCCCATTGACCAGAATGTGAAGATCTTGCTGATAAGGAATGATGGCACACGGCCCTTGAAGCTGTGGGCAGAAGGGTGAGAGGAAGAAGAAAAGAGGTGAAGGACTGCCTTTCCTAGAGGGGGCAGAGAAGACACCTGCTATCCATTTGGTCTAGTTCCTGTGGGCTGCAAGAAGCGAATGGCCTTGAGTCAGAGATGGCATTCTCCTTGCTGATGCTGATCCAAGGTAAGAGCTTCAGAAAAGAGAGGCAGATTTGGGACATGAAGGACCATTCAAGAAGAGGATTTCGATTTTTGATCCATGGCTTAAAATTCAGCAATGACAGGCCATTGGCCATGGATGGAGAGCACCAACTAGAGGCTGGGCATCTGGAATTGCGGGCAGTCTTCCAGATCTAGATAGCGGATTTGAAATTGAAGAGGAGGAAGGGGGTCAGGGTGGGGAGAAACCTGCCTCTCTATGACACAGAGAGTGTAATTTTGGAGTAGGAAGAACAGCAGGACAAGCACCCAGAAGTTCACAGGAGCCAACATCCAAGAAAGATCCAAGCAAGAAAACCTTTTGCCTCAGACAAATGGATAACAAAATGAACCAGAGATCCCACCTGCCCAGACTCAGTGGAGTCTGAAGCTAGGATCTGGCTCTGGAAGGACACACCTCATTCCAGATAAACAGGAGAGGCAAAAGGAATGGGGAAGAAAGAACCCTGCATCTTAAGACATGGCGCTCCAGGAACCACAGGGGAAGCCTTCGGGCGGAGATCAAAGGAGGCAGAGAGAAGCGCTATTGCAACATGAGTGCAGCCGCCAGACTGCCTGGACAGAGGGGATAGATGAGCAGGGGAGAACACACCTCACTGGCCTGGCCAGAGGCGCGACAGACAAGCCGCGGAGGGACTCCGACTGCCACACATCTGCCGTACTTCCTGTCAAAGACAGAGCGGCCAATTGTTTCTCGGCTTGCCTTAATGATAGCTTCATGCTTCAAAGGACTGAGAAAACAACCAGGGAAAATTCTGCTCTGGATCTGATTCTTACCAACACGAAGAACTCCACCGCTTCCTTTGGCACGACTGACGGACACTTTGCAGGAAGGCTGAGATGCTAATAATAATAACAGTAGGGTTACTATTAATTAGTGGTGAGGAGCAAATGAGATTATGTTTGTAAAGCGCTTAGCACAGTGCCTGGCACACAGTAGGTGCTATGTACATGCTAGCTAGTAGTACTATTATAGTAATCCTAACAGCCAGCACCTATCATTTGAAGGTTGGCAAGGCACTTGACACGTTAACACATTTGATCCTCACAGCAACCCTGGGATGTAGGTGCCGTTTTATTCCCATTTTACAGTTGGGGAAACTGAGGCAGACAGAGGTGAAGTGACTTGCTCAGGTTCACCCAGGACATCCCGACTCAGTCCTGCACCAAGTGCACTCTGCCACTGAGCCCCCAGTGTTGAGGGAGACATTCCCCTCCCCGCATCGTTTCTCCCTTTCCTCTTTAGGTAGCCTAACATCGCTCACCTTCCCTTTCCCTTCAAGGCCCGAGTGGGACAAAGAATTTGAAGTACAAAGAGGAGAGAGCTTTTGTGGTTTTCTTTAATCCACACTCACCTCAGCATCTTACATCAAGCCCACTCGCGCCCAGGTGGTATTCTATTCCCTTGCTGGTGGGGCTCAGATGCCTCCCATCAAGGCCGCCTGGTAGTGCGGCAGATAGAGACCTGAGTTCAACACTTGCTGTGTGACCCTGAGGAAGTCATGACACCTCTGTCTGCCTCAGCTTCCTCAGCTGTAAAATGGACATAATGACAGCACCTGCCTCACAGGGTTCTTCTGAGGATCCAATGAGGAAATCTTGGTAAAGAGCGCTTCTGACGCAGTGCCTGGTACACAGCAGGTGCTCTATCATTGCTCATTCCCTTCCTTCCCCACTGCCTTCCAGAGACGGTCAGAAAGAGCAATGCCGGCACTAGAGCTGTCTGGCTTCAGACTATGGGATTGAGGTGACGGATGAGACAGGAAATTCTCTTGGCCTGCTGGGTTTTCATTGCCTGACGCTCACTGGGCCTGCCATGGCTGCAACGCTGTTTGTCAGGACTAATGGTGGGAATGAAGGTAGGAGATTCTCAGAGTCAGAGGGAAAGCTCTTAGTTGGGAGCCCGGTGCTTCCATTTCCTGGATAATTACATATGCAATTTAAAAGGTCAAGTGCAAAGAAAAGGGGATAGAGAGAGCTGGGAGACCCAGGCGGCAGACCTGCCCGTGTCAGCAGCTAACCATGTGACCTCAAGTCTCCCCATATGCAAAATGAAGGAGCTGGAGGACTGGATTTAGAGTTAGAAGTCCGGGGTTCAAATCCTAGCTCTTCTATTGGCTCGCCCCTGAGACCTTGGGCAAGTCCATTCCCCTCTGGGCCCAGGTTTCCTCATTCATAAAACGGGGATGTGAGCTGGATCAGATGACCCAAGGTCCCTTCCAGCATTAAAATCTACTAACTAGCTTCTGGAATGGAAAGGATAGGAACCTTGGGAGAACGGGACCTCTCTGCCTAGGATCTTTAGAGCAATGGACAGGCAGCCTACATTTTGGAAGAGCAGATCTCAGAAGGTTCAAAGAAAAGACAGGTGGTCTCCTATGGTTTGGAGCTTTGTACAAGGAGTAAGGAGTCCAGTAGGTGTGGGAACCTCTCAAAAATGGAATTCTGAAGACCCAAAGAGAAACAACTCTTACTAGGAGGAAAAAGGGGAGACGGTACAGGAGCTTTCCATAGATGCCCAGAGACGCATACAAATGCACACTGACCTAGATGTTTACAAGGCAGCTGCAGAAGGAAGAAGGAAGGACCTTTACCGGAGAACGGAAGGCTCAAGAAGAATGATGCCCAAGTGCTAATGTGTGAGACAAGCCGAGGCTGGCGAGGAGAGCAAAGGCCAACACAAAGAGTGTTTTTAGGTCTGTCAGAGAAAAAGGAGGGTTAAAGAAATGATAAGCTGGGGGTCTGGGGCAAATGAGATGGCAACTTTTAACTCTGGTTTAGCTTCTGTTTTCTCTGCCAAGGAGAATAACATTTAGCCTGAAAATAACAGAACACAGATAGTTAAAAGGGAATTGATAGGAATAGGTAATGGCATTGCACCTGATACATCCATATATGGAACTCCTGGAAGAGGAAATGCCCTTTACTGACACAGGTTGGCATTTTCTCTGCAACTCAGTCTTAAGAGTGTTGTCCAGAGAGGTTAGGTGATTTGCCTCCGGGTCACCCAGTCAGTAGAGAAGAGACAGCAGGAACCCAGCGCCAGATCTCCCTAGTTTGGAGGCTCTCTCTCGATTGTGCCTGCCAGGCTGCCTCTCCTAGGGAGCTGGTACTCAAGGTAAAGAAGGAGAGAGAGTGGGAAGAGAGCAGCAGCTGCCCTTGATGCATTCCAGCCACCTGGCCCCCAGAACTGGCAGATGTGGCTACGAAGGCAGCATCCGTGACCTTCGAAAGGCCACGGGAGGAAAATGAGAGAGGGAGCACAGGACTGGAGAAGGCCAAACGTGGTCCTGGTTTCCCCAAAACAAAGGGAAAGAAAATGGAGAAGTCAGTGAGCTTAACTCAGATTCCTGAAGACATTCTAGAAGAGATTATCAAAGGGATGGTTAGAAGACATCTAGAAAAGGAAACAGTGATCACAAAGTGCCTGCACGACTTCAACAGGTCATGTCAGACTAACATTTTTCCATTTTTGACAGGGTTACTAAATTGATGGAGAAGCAGCGTGCATATCCTCCTGGACTGGTTAGGATTCAAACCCTGACTCTGACATTAGCTAAGGGACCAAGGACAAATCTCTGAATCCCTATAAGCCTCAGACACATCTCCAAGACTCTTACCTTCTAGAAAGGTTGCAATCAGGACTGCTAAAGGAAATTCCTCAAATGAGAGCTTGCACACCCAGCAAACAGCAGGGCCCTGACATAATGATTAGAATGGTAGCTCGGCACAATGCTGTAGGTATCATTCACCAAGATGTTAATGAAGTACGTGGCAGTCCATCATGCTTTGCTTGGGGAAAATATGGAGTGAGGTAGACTACATGGCAATACATGACAATATCACTGAGTGAATGAAGGACTGACGGGGCCACAGAGGAGTCATTAATGAATCGATGTCCATCTGGAAGAAGGTCTCCTGTGGAGTGCCCCAAGGATCTGTGCTCGGCCTTGTGGTATCTAACGTTTTTATCACTGATTTAGACAAAGGCACTGATGGCATTTTTATCAAATATGCAGATGTTACAAAGTTAGGAGGACAGCTACCACTGGATAGCAGAATCAAGATTTTAAAATATTTGGACAGCCTTGAGATGAGGCCAAAGCTCATGAAATGAAATTTAACAGGGATAAATGCAAATTCTTATATTCAGCTACAAGAAGTTAAACCCCAAGGTGTAGGAGGCAGAGCTAGCCAAGAATCTATCAGAAAGAATATTTAGGGGTTTTAAACGCATTGAAAAACTCAGTCATCAGAAAGGAGTGAGATGATAGCGAACACTCACACAGCACTTACTTGGATGGCAAAGTGCTTCATACGCGTTGTATTTCATTTGAGTGACCAAAGAAGTTAATGGAATCTTAAGATGCTGAGAGAGAAGGAAGAGAGAGACAGAGACAGAGAGTGAGACAGAGAGACAGAGGGAGAAAGGGAGGGAGGGAGGGAGGGAGAGGAGAGGGAGAGAGAGGGAGAGAGAGGGAGAGAGAGAGAGAGAGAGAGAGAGAGAGAGAGAGAGAGAGAGAGAGAGAGAGAGAGAGAGAGAGAGAGAGAGAGAGAGAGATCATGGTGCAGGGTTCAGGTCCAGAGAGTGCCAGCCTTGCTCTGCTCATCCTCGTCATTGCTACACTGGAGAGCAGCAAGGCAGCACCTTGGACAGGAAAGCCCTAAAAGTCCATGTCATGTGAGCCTTAGCTGGAGAAGCTGGAGGTGTTCAGGCTGAAGAAAAAAAGACTTGGGGCTGGGACCCTGAGCCTTGTTTATGTCATGGACCCCTCCCTGGGCAGTCTGGAGAAACCTATGGACTCCTCAGAATAAAGGTTTCATATGCATCAAATGAAACATGTAAGATTACAACAGAAGACAATGATATTGAAACATAGAGCTCAAAATATTAAAAAACAACGTTTATGGAGCCCAAGTTAAGAACCCCTGACTTAGTGGGATGTGATCACTAGTTTCATGCATCTGAAGGGTCACCATGTAGAAAAGAGATTAGATCTGTTCTACTTGGCCCCAGGAAGCAGAATTAGGAATGATGGGAAGAAGATGAAAAGAGGCAAAGCCAGGCTTGAGGGAAAGGAAAAAAATTCTACCAATGAAGCTGCCCCACAGCAGCAGGCAGCATGCTCCCTTTTGCCAGTGTCAGGGACATCGTAGAAAGGATTCCTGTCCAGGCTGGGGCCAGGAGACATGGCCCCTAAGGGCCCTCCCGACTCCAAGATCCAGCCATTATACAGTCCAACCCTTTAATCCCTCTCTCTGAGCTTTGACTTTCAGACAACCTGGCAGCCCCTCCTCCTGGGGGCTCACTGTACTGATACCAAACTTAGTGCAGCTCAGAAGATCTGCAGCCTCAGCCTTCGCTCATCACTGGGATTGTGGGCATGTGCCACCGGGCCCGAATCAACCCCTTCATCTTTACAGAGAGACGATGTCGTACAGTTAACTAGCAACATGACCTAGAGAGGTTGCTGGTCTACTGTACTTGTGGTACAGTAGAAGGAGCTCTGCATCCCAGCCCTGTCCCTGCTTCCTTTTCTGTCCAAGGAAGGAGCTAGGCAGGGTGAGCTCTCAGAGTCTGCTCTATGGCACTGTATTTACCTGGGTCACCTGGAGAATGGGGGCGCTGGTAACAACGAGGGCCGGAAGGTGCTGCGTCTGACTGGGAGCACAGCACAAATGAACTATGCCCAGAGGAAGTCCCTGGCTGAGCTCACGGCTCCCCAGGCCTGGCAGAGGCCTTGTGATTCTAGGCTGGTGCAAGCCTGCCCAAGGCACAGGGGACACAAGGCTTGGAAGCAGCAGACTCCAAGGGTGTGAAATCCCACTCTGTGGGGCTGGAGGGCTTGGGTCAGCTTCCATGACCTCTCCAGGCCTCCATGCTATCTTACGTAAAATGGGGACAACACTTGTGCTACCATCAACCTCACGGTGGTGCTTTGCACACCTGAAATCACCGAAGTTAACAGACAACAGTGACAATCCCCTTATTGGGCGATGGGGACTTAAAGGGTCGTGGCAGAGCCCTTCCACTCCCCCTTCCCCACCTACTCACCTACACAGTTGTCACACACACTGCAGTGCGAGGTCCGGGGGGGCCGAAACATCTTGCAGGTGAAACAGTATTTTAATTTCACCATCTGCCCGTTGACCGTCACTTCCTTGGTCCTCGGGGGAGGCCTGTAAGTGGAACTGCCGGTGCTGTCTGCAAGGGAAAGAGAAAGATGGGGAGACCAGAGATTAAACCAAGCCAGGAGCAGGATCCCAGGGCCTATCGGGAAGGTGAGGAGCCCACAGAACCTGGGTCCCATTGACCGACAGCCAGGGCAAAACGCTACAGCCTGGGAAACACAAAGGTCACATCGGAGATCAATGAAGTCATCTAGTAGGCATCTGCTGTGTGAAGAGCACAATGAATGCTAGAGAAAGATGGAAAGTGGGGCAGCTAGGTGGCACAATTGATAGAGCACCTGGGGTCAGGAGGACCTGAGTTCAAATTCAGCTGCAGACACACAACACTTCCTAGCTGTGTGACCATGGACAAGTCACTTAACCCTAACTGCCTCACTTAAAAAAAAAAAAAAGAAAGAAAAAGAAAGAAAGATGAAAAGTTAGCCAATACCTAGTCCCTGCTTTCATGGGGTTCAGTCTAGCACAGGGAAAAGACACAGACACAGACCACAGCGCACAACGTCACATAAATTCATTAGCAAAGTGCAAAACACGAGAAGGAGCTCCGAAGGGGAAGGTCCACACTGATGGCGAGGGTCAGGAACAGCTTCCTGGAAGGGCCAGCATTTCAGGGAACCCTCAAAGGATGGGGAAGAATTCAACAGGTGAAAGGGGAGGAAGGACATTCCAGCGAGAGAGGACAGCGTGAACAAATGCACAAAGGCAGGAAAATGCTGGCATCCAGTGGGGCACAGACGGCACTGAGGAAAGTGATTTGAGACAAGCCTGGAAAGGCTGACTGCTCCCAGACAGGAGGGACTCGAAGGCCAGGCCAAGGAGCCTGAAGTCTCCTTCACGGGCCCCAGATGTGTTCTGAGGAAAGGAGGGGCATCACTGGGTCTGCATGTAAGGGGAAATTTGAATAGCAGACTGGAATAGGGAGAGCATGGACGTGGGAAGAGCAATTAGGGGCTATGCAACAGGTCAGGTACAGGGGGCCGTGGGCAATGGGGGGAAGGAAGGACGTGAGAGAATGCACAGAGGTGCAATGGTGGGGGGGAAGAGGAAAAGGGGAGAGATGATAACAAAGCCTGGGAACCTCAGAGAGTGAAGTCAGAGGTTTCCACAGAACAACCATGTGTGAGAACGAGGCAACCCCTGCTCAGGGAAAGGCTGAGCTGGACAACTTCCCACCCAACTCTGAGACTGCGTGATCCTATTACTCCCAAATCCACATGGAGGCAGTTAAGGGGTATCGTAAGTAGAGTGCTAGGCATGAGTTCAAATCCAGCCTCAGACACCTACTGTGTGATCCTGGGCAAGTCACGTCCCTTCTGTCCGCCTCAGTTTCCTTCTCTGTAAAATGGGGATGATGATAGCCCTGACTTCACAAGGTTATTGCAAGTCTCTAACATATGTTATGTGTTTCGCAAACCTTAAAGCACTACATCAATGTGAACTATTATGAACATCATAATCCCCATCAGTATTCTCCTCACCGCTATCTATATTTCTAGGCCTGGCTGCTTGCCCAGCTGCCTGCCCCACAGAGCCAACACGTCCTTGCCGTGTTTCAGATTCACCCTTTGTTCAGAATCCTTCTCACACTCCTTCTCTTGACTGTTACTGGCATCGCCATCCTCGGAGACACCCGGGCCCAAGACTGTGGAGTTTAGATTAGAATCCCAATAACAAAATCTCAGAATTGGAAGGGGTTTCAGGTGCCTCTGCTCCATCTCCAACCTAAGCGAGGTCTGAACCCCACCCCCAACTCTGCTTGCAGGCCTCTGGTGAGGGAAAAGCCACTAGGCCCTGCGGCGGCCCATTCCATCTGGGGACAGCTCTTAGTGTTAGCAAGTTTTTCTTCCACATCTTCTGACTTGCCAGTTTTCATCTCTCGGGCGAGGGAGAATAAGTCTAATGACTCTTCCCTGACGACAGGCCCTCAAAGACAGAATTATGTCTGCCTGAGTCTTTTCTTCTTTCCATGATGACCATCCCCAGTTCCTTCAACCAATGCATGGCATGAGCATGTTCCAGCTTATCAACGACCTTAAAATGAAGATGAGAATTCTGCTGTGGGTTGAGCAGGGCAGGAGGCAGAGGGACTATGCCCTCGCTCATCCTGCCTTCTTGGACTGTGTCTCTCTCCAGGCCACCTGAGATCACCAGAGTTTTTATAGCTGCCGTATCACTACTGATTCATCCTGAAGTTAGAGTCTACTGAGCCCCCACAATTTTTCAGACAAGTTCTTGCCCAGATGTCAGACAATGTCTAACTTGTAGGCATGAAGTTATTTTTTATCTCTGTTAAATTCCATCTTAGCCTCGGCCAAATGGTTTTAGCCTGTGAAGATCTTTTTGGATACCATACTAGTTATACCTCTCAACTTTGGGTCATCTCAAAGTTGACTGTAATAACAGCTAAGACTTATGTAAGTGTTTTAATGTTTGCAAAGATATTATCCTGTTTGAGGCTCTTATCAACCCTGAGAAGTAGGTGCAGATGCTATTCAGATTTTACAGATGAGGAAACTGAAGCTAAGAGGTTAAGTGACTCGTCCAGGATCACAAAGCTAGTAAGTACCTAAGGTGGGTTTTGACTTAGGCAGCCAAGTGGTACAGTAGATAGAGCACTAGACTTGTAGGCAGGAAGACCTGAGTTCAAATCCTGCCTGGTACACCTCCTTGGCCCTTGGCCCTATAATGGTGGACAAAGTCATTAAACCGTTTCCAGCCTCAGTTTCCTCATCTGTAAATGAGGGTAATAACAGCACTTCCCTCCCAGGGTTGTCGTGAGAATCAAATGAGATAGAATGCCAGTGACAGCGAGGCCCTCAGAGGTCCTTCGCCCAGTCCTATCATCTCAGAGATGAGCCAACGGAAGCCCTGAGAGGTGAACGGCCTCCCTGGAGCTAGGACTCCTGGCCTGTCCTGTGCCCCACCCTCCTGGCTGACTCCTCCTCAGACCCTTGCTGTGTTTGTGCACCACTGACTGGCGTAGAAGCTCCAGGAGGGCACAGGCTGCTGCTTTGGCCTTCCATCCCCCACACGCAAGTACCAAGTTTTATTGGTTCCGCAAGTCCATGCTGGTGGCGCAGTAGACAGAGTACTGGGCCAGGAGTCAGGAAGACCCGAGTTCAAATCCAGCCTCACTTACTAGCTGTGTGATCCTGGCTACATCACTCAACCTCTGCCTCAGTTTTCTCAACTATAAAATGGGGGAAAAAACAAAAAAAATTAAATTTAAAATAAAATAAAATAAAATAAAATAAAACAAAATAAAATAAAATGGGGATAGCACTGTTGTGAGGATCAAATGAGAATTTTTTTTAAAGTGCTTATGGCAGTGCCTGGCACATAGTAGGCGCTATATAAATACTTATTCCCTTTCTCCTCCTACCCCCAATTCTTCGCACTGCCCCCACCTTGCTCCAGATCCTCACCTAGCCACAGTAATGGCCTGGACTACTACGGCCCTAGACCAATCTCCTTTCTGCAGAGATCTGGTCATGTTCCTCCCCTGTTGCCTACCAAATCTAAGCCCTTTCCAACTGTGTCACCATAGCTTTCCAGCCGTGTCCCATCAGCCTTCCCTCCACGCACCATCCAGCCCCAGCGGCCTGGCTACCCTTGGGATTCAGGGACACTGGCCTGGCGGCTCTCCCTCCCCCAGCACACTCCGTCTCTCAGCTCTGAATGTTCTCTGACTGTCCATCACGCCTGCATCGCTTTCCCTCTGCTCCAACTACTGACCTCCCTGGCTTCCTCCCCATCCCACCTCACACAGGAAGCCTTCCTCAACCCTCCTAATTCATTTAATTGCCTCCTATTTATCCTACCAGCTTGTCTGGATGTGCTGTCTTCCCCATTAGACTGTGAGCTCCTTCAAGACGGGCATCATTTTTTAGCCTTTCTTTGTATACCCAGTGCTTAGCACAGTGCCAGTATACTGTGAGTGTTTAGTAAGGGCTTAACTGCTTGATCTGAAGTGCCCTGGAAGAGTGTGTTAAGAACAGGTACTAAGGAACCAGTGAAGGGCCTGTGCTCTGGGGCAGACTGATCAGGTGGCAGAGTTTGCTGGATGAAAAGCAGCTGGTGGCACAGTGAATACAGAGGTGGGCCTGGAGGTAGGAAGAGCTGAGTTCAAATGCAGCCTCAGAAATCTCCTAGGTGGGTGACCTTGGGCAAGGCACTTCACCTCCATCTCAAAGTGCTCCCAAGGGGAGCAGGCCTCCATGGCCTTTAAGGCCCCTCCCAGCTCTCCAGCTACGATCCTAGGAGCCAGGAAATAAGACCTAGGTCCCAGTCTGGCCTCTGGCACATCCTGGCTCTATGGCCCTGGGCAAACCGTTGAAGGAAAGGCACCAGTCAGCACTGACAAAGGACATTCTTTCCTGGGAGCTCCATACATCATGAAAAAGAGTTGAAAAAGACCAAAATGTGTTCTAAGAGCAGTCCCTGACTTACACTTGACCCCATCTCTCCAAGGCTGGCCTCCATTCACTGCAATAAAGTAGAAAGCTCACTAGCTTTGGAGTCAGAGGCCCTGGGTCCAATCCCACCCTGAGCAGGTCACCACTTCTCTGGGGCCCAGGTTCCTCTTCCTTTGTTCAATGAGGGTGCTGAACTCACTGACCCCTAAAGTACCCAAAGGTATGATGCTATGACCCTGTTAGTGAAACCTGGGGAGCCCCAGTCTCACTTTGGGAGGTACACTGAGTGAGGGAACATTCTGCCCCCTACCCCTGCTCCCAAAGCCGCCCAGGGCAGCTCAGGCATTCCAAGGAAGAATGTGAAATGCACCTTTTTCCAGAAATCCCATTCTAAACGATGGTTGGGTTCTGCTGTCCTCGAGTTTACCTCTGTGATGGGTTAAGTGGGCTACTGCGGGCTGGCCCTAGGAACTTAACCTCCTTTGAGAACAGAGCAAATGCCTTCTACGTTCCAAACACCCATATGCAAGCTGGGAACTGCCATTCTTCTTTATGTCTCTCACAGTGCCTAGCACAGTGCTCTGAACATGAGTGGGCA